ACACACACACACACACACACACACACACACACACACACACACACACTCCTGAGTGGCCACCAGCAGACTTTTTTCTTTCATGGGAGTCCAGGTTGCAGATGCTCAGACTGTGGAGAGTGTTTTAGCAAATTGGAGGCAGGAGGAGAAACAAAGGGAGCAGGGGATTGCCTGGAGGTCAGAAGATGTCATTCTCCTCCTAAAATATCCTCAAGAGATTTCCATAGCCAACAGCAGCCTTTCCCAAATGGAATTCTGATTTTATAGGATGTTTATTAGGTGATGCTCAAAAAGGAGTAGAGTGGTGATAGAAGTTTGTGAAATGCTGGATTAAATGTGCTTCTCACTGGGAGACATGGCATAGCCTTATATAAACAAATTTGTACCGTGAATCTTCAAAATTGGGTTTATAGTATTTATGGCTTCTGAAGCTTATATAAACATGATTTTTTTTTTCCCTAGAGCATCCTGGAAATTCTAGAAAATTCACTCACTCTTTCATTCAACAAATATGTGTTGAGTAGCTGTACCCATGGCAGACATTGTTCTTGGCACTGAAGATGCAGAGATAAACAAGACAATGTTCTTTCCCAAATGGAACTTCTATTCTAGTGGGATGACAGCAAATAAACAAACAACTGGGACAATGAAGGCAGTATAATAGGTGCTATGAAAATAAAGCAGGAAAAAGAGACAGTGGGGTTGGGGCTTGAGGTAGTGGCTATTTTAGATCGGTAGTCAGAGAAGGCTCCCTGTGGAGTGATATTTGAGTAGAGGCCAAGAGTGAATGGCAGTGGCCATGTGAAGATGTAGAGGAAGAGTATTCCCAACAGAGGTACCTGGTACAAAGGCCACAGGGCAGGAGGGGGAGCTTGGGGAATTCCAGAAACATGAGTCTTAAGGTAGAATGAGCAAGATGGGGAGGAAGGGCAGGAGGCCAGGAAGGGTAAGAGACCTCTCCCTTTAGTAGAGGTAGGCAGGAAGCCATCATGAAGGAGCATATCATGAGAATGTTCAGGGAAGAGGTGATCATTTAGGAGACTTTACGTATCACAGACTGTGAGTTACAGAGGGGAAGTTCCTGACATCTCTCTTCTCTAATTCCTTCAATGAATCTTATCTTTCTACTCCTTAAATAGTGAACTCAAGCTCTTGTTCCCAAATCTCTTTTCCCTAATATCACCCACTCCTTTAGTGACTGTGGTGGCCAGGACTAGTCTTCACTCTATCTGGTTCTCATCTTTTCTGGGCACCCCTTTCAGTGGGCAGGGCCATGTGACTACTTCTGACCAATGGTCTACGAGCAGGAGTAATGAGTTCACTTTCAGCCTGCAGCATTTCATTAGCAGGGCACAAGCCTCAACTTCCTCTATTCCCCTTGCAGTCGTGGTTAAGACAGTTTCAGGTTCCAGATGGTACAACTACAAGATGATGGAGGCTCGAAAGCCTGGGCTACCAAGTTGCCACATGGAAGTCCATGCTCCGGAGAGTCACCCAACACAGGAAATCTGGGCATAAGAAAATGCACCTTTTGTTAAAGCACAGAGATTTTAGGATTATCCCACCATAAGTGAATGGTACACTGATATAATTGAGTGGCTCTCAAAATTTTGAGCCTTAGGACTTCTTTTACTCATAAAGATTAGTAAGGACCCCAAAGAGCTTTTGTTTATGAGGGTCATACCTATAGCTATATATCACTTTGGAAATTATAATTGAGAAATTTAAAACATTTACTAATTCATTTGAAAACAACAAACCTATTTATTTTGTATTTTATGAAATGTATTTTATGAAATGTATTTTATGAAATGTATTTTATGAAAAACAATTAGGTTTATTTTTTAATTTATTAAGATGAGTGGCAATGTTTTACACTTTTGTAAATCTCTCTAATGCCTTAAGAGCATTATATGATATTACATTACTAACAATACCATGATAACAGTTTTTAAAGCTTTGGGAAGCTATCAAGCTCATAGTGACAAATATAGATTTTCCAAATTTCTAATTTTTGCTTGAAAGCTTATATTTTACAATTATAACCAATACTGTTGGTTGTTTTCCTTGAAAAACAGGCCCACTTAGTACATTTTTGAGGAAATGTCTGTCAAATACTCAAGTTTGAATAACTGTAGCATATCTGCCTATAATTCTTTCAAGTAAAAATTGTTTTCCATGAAAAAATCTACCAACTCAGCTTGCAACTCCATCATACAAAGGCTTTTCTTCAAGATTGAGACTGTATTTCAATATGCAGCAAGACAAGATGCTTAAATTATAATCCAGCATGCCCTTCTCTGACTAGTCACATTCTGTTGTTTTTTAGGTAATTGTCTCACTGCCTCTGTAAGCTCTGTGACTGTAGACCCCATGGTCTTTTTCTCCCTTGTAACCTCCATATTATTCAGTAGTCATTACTGAATGAGTATATTCTATCTTTCTGAGTAGACCAATCGTAAGCACACTGAAATAGGGACTCTATGCTATTCTTCTTTGAATCACCAACACCTAAGACAGGGTGTTGGGCCCAACAGAACACAACTGTGGTTCTTTATGATACTAAAGTTTATTATGTACATTATATTAGGATAGCCAGTAATAATGCCAGCAGTAATGAATCTTTATTTTCTTTCAATATCTATTGTAGAGGAGCTGAGTATGGTTGCAGATTGGCAGAAGCGCACACACACACACACACACACACCCATTAGAGATTCCTACTCAAGAAAGAGAACTTTATAGGAACAACGTGGTCCCACAGAGCAGGGTTGGATGCAGGATGTCAGTATGCATTTCCTCCCACCATGGGGTATGTTGGTGACACTGAACTCTGCACACATCAACTGGAAGAAAGTCATCGCCCATTTATTCTCAGCTTTATGTCATCATTCTGGAAAATTATGCTCACAATCTCTCCCTACATGTAATGCTCACAATTTGCTCTCCCTACATGTAATGAATGCTTACAACCACTAGGATCTTCTAGCTCTAGAAACCAATAGTATCAACAAGGCCATCCTCTACCTGGGGCAAAAACAGAATCAGTGTCCAGGGGTCACTGAAAATCTTCATGTCTCAGCTTCCCAAGGTCCCAGAAATACCTCACCCCCACCAAGAAATCAACAAAAAACATTTGCTTTAAGAATTAAGCACGTTGGTGAGAAATGTATAATGTGAGACACAGATATAGTTTTAATTCTGTGAACCCACATGATAGAGAGGGTTAGCTCCTATACACTGTTTGGGACAGCAATTATTTATTTATTTATTTATTTATTTATTTATTTATTTATTTATTTATTTAAAAATGTTTAATGTTTATTTATTTTTGCAAAAGATAGAGACAGAGCACAAACAGGAGAGGGATGGTAAGAAAGGGAGACACAGAATCCAAAGCAGGTTCCAGGCTCCAAGCTGTCAGCACAGAGCCTAACATGGGGCTCGAACTCACGAACCGCGAGATCATGACCTGAGCCAAAGTCCGACGCTTAACCGACTGAGCCACCCAGGAGCCCTGGGACAGCAATTACTTTTAAAGAACCAAGTTTTTGTTAACATTGCTCTTGCTCCTGAGCCCACTGACAAGCTAATGTCCTCAGTTTTCCCTCTATTTTGTCAATCACAAATTTAAATATAATCCAATTGCGAGTGTCAAATTTACACTACACTCTAGTCAACTGAGTTATAGATAGACAGAGAGAGAGATATGTTATACCCAATAGTGTCTTCAGGATGAGTAGGTAAGCCACATCAAATTATCCTTAAAAAACAGCTACCATGAGCTATGACACTATTGCCAAGAACACATTCTGACATTAATGCTTTCTTCTTTCTGAAAGACTAGTGTCACCTCTTACATTCTCTTTTTATAGCAGCTTTATTGAAATACATAAACCCCATACCATAAAATCCACCTTTGAGAGTGTACAATTTGGTGGGTTTTAGTATATTTATAGAATCGTGCAACCATCAACACTAACTTTAGAACATTTTTAACAACCATAAAGAGACCCTGTACCCATTAGCAGTCACCCTCTGTCCCCACCTCCTCCAGCCCCTGGCAACCACTCATCTACTTTCCATGGATTTGCCTGTTTGGGGTATTTCATACAAACGAGTTCATGTGATATGTGGCCTTTTTTGTCTGGCTTCTTTCAATTAGCACAACATTTTCAGGTATGTTATAGCATTTATCAATCCTTCAGTTCTTTTTCATAGCCAAAAAATATTCCACTATAGAGATATGCCACATTTTGTTCATCCATTCATTAGCTGATGAGCATTTAAGTGTTTCCATTTTTTGACCATTATAAATAATGCCTCTGTGGACATTGCGTACAAGTTCTTATGTGAACACGTTCTCAATTCCTTTGGGATTTATCTATGAGTGGATTAAAAAACACTTTAAGGATTGAGTCAATGCAGGGATGAGAATAAGTCAAAAGGTTTTTTTTCACAGATCTGTCAAGCTCCCGAGACTAAAGGGACATTAGAAGGGAAAAATGAGTTATTAAATAACAAAGGCAAAGTCAGAATAATAGGTAATAATAGCCTAAAGAAACATTTGTCTTGTCCTGGTCAGCTTAAATTAATTTTAATATTACATAATTAACTTGGAAAGACATTCAAAAACACTAAGAACAATTATAAATCTGTCTTGCTTTTTTAAGATATAAATTTCTAAGTTCTTTTAGAATAGAAAATATTAGTATTTAACAAGGATACTTTTGGTCTAGTGATTTATGGTTTCAATACTATGCCTACTGCCGTGTTCGGATACCCAACTGCTATTAAAGATTCTAAACTGTATTTCAAAAATTCTAAGTCACCTAAAATGAAGAGTACTACAGGGCTTAAAGTTGTTTGAGAACAGAGATATACTTCATAAAACTAGAGAATAAAGGGGTTCTTCTTGAAATAAAAGGCCAGAATCTTGAACACTAGCAGACAACTTGCTGCTTTCATCTGAGGAAAAAGAACTAATGTCATTTGAGAAAATTATGGTTAAAAATCATTTCTATATCTTTTAATGTAATGAAAGAACATTGAGAGTTAAAATAATCAGGCAGGACTTCAGGTCTGCAAAAAAACCCAAAACTGTCAAATCCTTTGGGTTTTTCTACTTTCAAGTTCAGACATACAGTAAATTACAGATACGGGGGACAAAATAACATTCCCTGCATGGTGAACATTTCGATAGTCTAGTTGAATCTATTTTCAGTATCCATTTGGTACTAATTTCCCCAAGTTTCAAAGGATAAAAGTAGCAAATGAAATTGTAAAGCTCATATCCAGGGTACTAGAAAAAATAACAGCCATTATATGATGGCTGTCACTTTTTAAAGCCTGGTTCTGCTTGAAGAATTACTGCAATAGCAATGAAAGAGGCATGCTTTCCCACCCATGATGTAATTTGCCTATAGAATACCTAGTATTCTATAAAGGTAGAATCTTTGGAAAAAAGAAACAAGGCCAAACTTTGTGCAACCTATGGCTTTTACTTTTTATTACCAACACACAAAGTAAATGAAAAAAATATCAATTGTTTCTCTTTAACTCTCTGCTTCCTATTTCCAGATGCTTTAAATAGGATAGAAAAAGCAAGGCAACAAAACAAATTCCATCCACTGCATGAAGGTTGACCTATCAATGTTTCATTTGCAAAGAGTCAATAATAAACTCATAACTATAAAAAGAAGGAAAACAATTATCGCTTAAGTGCCTCCTTAGTTCCTGAATTTTTTCCAGAAAGAACAATATGAGCCATATATTAGCACAGAAAAAAAGTTACTTTTTCCTTTTCATAAATTTTTTTGCTTCTTTCAAAAGCTCTTCCGTATCTTCCTTCTCTTGGTCTTCCTGCCCTGGTTCCCAGTCAGAATCTTCATCTGTTGGCTCATATTCTTCTTCCTCATCATCTAGAAAACGGTCATTGAGGTCATACTCATTGGATTGCCCAACATTATCACTATCTTCATCTGATATGCTCCTCACTGAAAAAAAAAAATTTTTTTTTCGGTACACAACAGATCAATCACCACTCAAACCTGAGAGTAGAGATATCTAACTATAAAATGTCTTTCTCTGACAAGAAGTATTGTTACTTAAGACATCGCTAACCACCACAAATTTCTAGAAAGAGGGCTAAAATTATTCTTTGTTAGAATTCTAACTTTTTAAAAAACATTTGTTTAATTCTAACTCTTCCTACCAAGAGGATCCTGAAACTAAAATGTCCCGTGAGGGCACCTGGGTGGCTCAGTCAGTTGAGTGTCCGACTTTGGCTCAGGTCATGATCTCACAGTTCGTGGGTTCAAGCTCCACCTTGGGCTCTGTGATGACAGCTCAGAGCCTGGAGGCTGCTTCAGATTCTATGTCTCCCTCTTTCTCTGCCCCTTCCCCACTTGCACTCTGTCTCTCTCTCTCAATAAACATTAAAAAATTAAAAAATAAATTAAAAAAATTTTAAATGTCCTGTGAGATTCCTAATAATGGTTCCTTAATAATATAATCAAGTGTGCCTGGGTGACTCAGTTGGTTACGTGTCTGACTCTTGATTTCAGCTCAGGTCATGATCCTATGGTTCGTGAGTTCGAACCTTGCACTGGGCTCCATGCCACCTGGATTCTCTCTCCTTCTCTCTGCCTTTCCCCTACTCGCTCTCTCTCTCAAAATAAATAAGGATTGAGCCTCCCAAGCCTACCTGGGATTCTCTGTCCTTCTCTCTGCCTTTCCCCTAAACTCTGTCTCTCTCAAAATAAATAAGTAAATAAAATAATAATATCATAATCATATTTATGCTCTCCTACCCTCTGGGGCGGTAGAATGTATTTTTGTCCCAGTTATTTACTGTCCATCCCTGTCATATGATTATATTTAACCACCCCACTGACATCAGACTTGGCCAAAGAAAAGTAGGTGGAAATGGTGTGTGTCACTTCCAAGGAGAAGCTTTAAGAGCCTCTCTGTAGTTTCTGCTGCAGCCATTTTCCCTCTGCCACAGTCTCCCTCATGCTAGATACAGGCTGATCCTTTAGCTCGGCTTCCAGGATGAGAACACACATGGGACACACAAAAGAGAAATACACCTGTTTATTGTTGTGAGGCGCTGAAATTTGGGGACTGTTATCACAGTAAAGCTGGCACAATCTGTGATCAAATGAGAAAATATGAGTCTACACATTTTGTAAAGTTTAGTTTTATAGATCTTCCAGTTCATGTTTCAGTGACTGGGATTGCTGAAAATATCAGGATGACTATGGTAACACCATTAGAATTTATAGGTTTCTAAATAATACCAGAATTATAATAGAATTTTTCCATCTCGAAATCCATTTCTTCCCTCATCCCACTTTTTTATTTTCATTGCAAGCAACAGGCTTATTTTAAGATAAGCTCCCTAGGATGATGTGGAGCATTTAAGAAACAAGTAGGAAGATTCTCTCTGGAAATCTATGGATGGCAGAGGACAATCCCTGCGTGAACACCAAATGGAGGAGTTAAAAATATTATTGTTTGTACTTCTGTATATGCTTTACTTCACCTCTTCCTAAAATGTTCACATGCAATAGACAGTTAAAAAACACAAAAAACACAAAAAAGTAAGGTAATTTATCTGTCCTCTTAACTTCCATAGCCCGGACATTTACATTTTTCTTAATATCGCTATTCATTTCCAGAGAGGATTTGAGCCAGCTTATATTAATGAGGTCATAAAAATACAAATGAAAGTAGAAACTAAGAACACAAAAACCAGAATGTAAACATGTCAACCTTCATTTTTAACATAATTATTATAAATTGAGCATCAGGTTTCTCCCCAAGTTTCTTGGTAGCCAAGGCTAAAAAGGCTACATAATGATTTGCACAGTGCTCATTAGCATAAGAAGCACACCAGTCCCTTAAGGGAAATGTAGCACTGTATTTATTTGTATACATTTCTCATCCCCTGTAAGCATCCTGAGGGCATGTTTTACATCTAGCTAATCTCAACTCCCCATATAACTTTTATGATAGAAAACATTTAAAAAACATTTAGAGGGCAGTTTGCAGATGGCAAAAGGAGGGAGGGAGGAGGGAAGAACATCAATACTCTTCTTGGCCATTCTGCTTTGGAAGTATTTCATATACATAACTAGTGACATCTCAGCAAAGCATTTCCTTTCAGATTCAGAAATTACCCTGAAGATTTATAAGAGAAACATACATAAAGCTGAAACAACTTCAAGTTCTCCTCCTGCTTTATTGGCTGTTCCTCTTCTCTAACATACTCCAGTCTTATACCCTAAATTCCCAAAGTATATCCTAAGCCCTGACCAACACCTGAATTCCAGGCTCCTTTATCTCACTGCCTATATACTCTCTCTACTTGCATAACTAACAGGCATCCAAAACATATTCCCAGAACACAACTCTTGAGGTGCTTCACCCAAATCCTTTCTCTTATCAGTCTTAGTATATGACTTCTCCAACCTTGACCTTCTCCAAGAAATCTTGGAGTCATCCTTGAATATCCCCCACTGAAAACCCAATATCCAATATGTTAAGAGATCCTATTGACTCTGCCATCAAAATCTATCTGCCACTTCTCACTACATCTACTCCATACTCTGGTCCCCATACCATCATCTTCTTTTTTCAACCAGTTCCAATGTTCACCCAACTGGTTTCTGGCATCCACTCTTGTCTATTCTCCACAGAGGAGCCAGAAAACCTTCCAATAGCTTTCTATCTCACTCTGAATTAAAACCAAAGTCCTTACTTATAGGTCCTGGCCTCTATTGCTTCTTGGCCTTTTGGCTAAGATCAAGTGTATAGGTCCTGGCCTTAAGACCCTACACAACTGGCCCACAGCTAGCTTTTCTGATCTCATCTGCCACTCCTCACCTACTCGCTTTGTTTGAGTTCTACCCTTTCTCTACTACTCCTTGAACAGTACAAGCAGGATCATCTCCAGGGCTTTTGGAGTCACTCTTCCCCTTGACTAGCATGCTCTTCCCTGAGATAATCACCTCTCTTATTCTCTCCTCCAAGTCTCTGCTCTAATATCAAATTTTCAGAGTCTGTTTACCATCCTACCCAAAATGGCACCTGCCTCCCACCACACACACCCTTGTCATTCTGTCTGTCCTCTTACATAACTTTTCTTCTTAGCAGTTATCACTACGTGACATCATATAGTTGTTTACATGTACAGTGCCCACCTTTGTGAACTTCTACAAGAGCAAGACTTTGCCTCCATTGTATCCTCAGCTCTTGTAACAGTGCCTAACATATAGAAGACACTTAATATGTATATTTGTTGAATATATGAATGAACAAATCAACTGCTGAACACCTTTAGTTTTACAGAAATCCTTCATATTATAACCTACACTTTTATCACTAACCTGTCTATACAATGAATTACAATAAAGACTTTTATTTAAATCCTGCTAATTGAAGGGGCTTTAAGCTTCAATGAACCCTGGAAATCTTTAGCAACTTATTGGGCAGGCTCATTTCTTGAGCAATAGGCCATATTATTTGTTTCCTCAAAAAATTGTTTACATCTATCAAGTTGTCATTTACATAAACATTACACTCATATTCTTTTAATAGGAGGTTCAGAATCTAAAAAAAAAAAATCTGTAACAGAACTCCAAGTAGCTGGTAGTCAAATTTCATCCATTTTACTTCACATGAACAGGTATTTTGTGCTTTAAGTTAAAGCACCTGAAGAGTCAAACTCAGCTCTAGAATCCAGCTCTATGTCTTTTGTTAGTAGTGTCATGTCCATACTTCTTAACAGGGTTTTAAATGCTGACATGTGATTATCTTTCTGGAATCAATTATAATGGACGCTCCTTAGCCAATTAATTCATGACTTTAAATATTCCATAGTGTAGGGGCACCTGGGTGGCTCAGTTGGTTAAGTGTCTGACTCTTGATGTCAGCTCAGGTCATGATCTCCTGGTTTGTGAGACAGCCCTGCATCGGGCTCCATACTAACAGCTCAGAGCCCGCTTAGGGTTCTCTATCTCTCCCCTCTCTGCCCCACCACCCCCTCCACTTGCACACATGCTCTCTCTCTCCCTTTCTCTCAAAATAAATAGACATCTAAAAAATAAATAAAAATAAATATTCTACAGTGTAAATGCCATCTAGATGGGCACCTACTTTTTTTTTTTTTAATTGCTGAAGGTGTTCTTAGAAAACGTACAGTTTCTGCCTTTTGATGTAACTGGTCCATGCAGATAGTGAAACTTTACTTATTTGGAAAATTCTCTGAATCAGCACACCTATTGATGTGAATTACTATATGATTTCCTGAATCATGGAAATAATCTCAAGAAGCCCGGTTCTTAACTAAACATGGCTACCACCTAACCTAGGAATAAAATGCCTATCTTTACCACACAATTAGTAAGTTTTTATACAAAAGGGATATGAAGAACACTGAAATCAAGGCGGGAAAAAAATCCCATGCATGTATTCTCTAACCGGCAAGCTGAAACACAGTATAGTATCTGGATATCTGGATTTAAAGTGATGAAAGTAGTCACGTTCACATAAACCTCGCTAGTAGCACTGTTTGCTATACAGAAATTTCAAAGAAAGCTTCTCATACAAGGAAGCTTGTTGACTAGAGAACCAGGCAACATTCAATGAGGAATCCCATCATAGAAGATCCCAAGCTAAGACTCCAGTATTGTCCAGAGAATGCCGTGGTTGGTGAAAAGCTTATTAACATGCTAAACTAAACTAAACTAAACTAACAGGAGATACAGCAGTAGCTGTTTAACTGTTTACTCTACAACAAAACATAATTTTTTGTAGTGTTATTTTTTGTAGTTAAATTTCCACAGAATTAAATAGCATAATGCCATTTTTGAAAAAATAAGTGCCTATATGTAGCATTTTCTTGTATTACAACTACCTGATTTGAAATATAATTCTTGAGTGTGTCTGAGAAATCAGACGTGAGCTTGTTTAAGGGCTCCTGGGTGGCTCAGTCAGTTAAGCGTCCGACTTCAGCTCAGGTTATGATCTCATCTCATGGCTTGTGGGTTCGAGCTCCGCGTCGGGCATTGTGCTGACAGCTCAGAGCCTGGAGCCTGCTTTGAATTCTGTGTCTCTGGCTCTCTCTGTCCCTCCCTACTCATGCTCGGTCTCTCTCTCCAAAACAAATAAATATTAAAAAAAAAAAAAAAAAAAAAAAGAAGTGAGGTTGTTTCTTCCAAATCAAGGCGAACTCAGAAGTCATTTTTTCCTCTACCTTCACTTAGAAGCTTCTTGCTGCTAGTTTTCTGTTTTTATGTGATAGGCCATCCCCTTCATTCAACAAAAAGTCTCTTTAAAAAGCAGCATGGTAAGAGAAAGAGGCTAGACAGATGGGAGGGTAGAAGTCCAAAGATCTGGGTCATCAACAAGCCCATAAAAAATGAACAAGTCATTTAACTTAATGGCTTAATGGAATTTATGTTTTTATCTGTGAGTCAATGGATGTTGATTACATTACTTCAAAAATCCTTTCTGAATTCTGATTTTAAAACTGAAGTTCTAATTTTAAGGCCAAAGTAGAAATCTTCATTTTCTCTACAGATCAGTGAGTAATATGAAATGTAGGAATGGACTGACAGCTTGACTGCATGAAGCAGTACAAGAGAAAGAGGCTGCCACTTATTTTTAAAAATTGATGGGTAACATCAGACTTCCATGATGGAAAATAACCACCGTTAGGGAAGAAACAAACTCTTAACACGTTTAAAACAACATGGTATTAACTGGTTGGAATTAGGCTACAGCAATTTCTGACTTTTCTATTTATGCAGAGGAATGTGTGATATCAGAATGACAATTCCTAAATTTGTATCTAATCTTTCTCTTACAGTTTAAAATTTCATTGTCAACTCTTACCCCAAGAACATAAGTCTGAAGAGCTAGTGAAGAGTACAGTGTCAAATACATGTTGGAAGAAATGCTGGTTTTACAGAAAGAAAAGACTGTTCCAAACTGCTGATTTTTGCACACAGATTTCGGGTGTTAGGATCTAAGATGCCAGATGCCTCATAGCAGATTTACAGCTTAACATCAATAATTCTTCAGATTTTATTTTCCTTTACCATTCTGATCTACTTTATTATATATGAATTTCTTTTTTTAAATACCATTGCACTAGCCTTTTTCATATCCCCAAATCTCTCAGCTTTCCCCACACTAAGCAGCAGTTTATATAATCTCATTTAAATTCCATTAATTTTCACAATAGCTTTTAGAGCTTTTGGGTTCTACCTCTGAGGAAAAAGGCATATATAAGCAAATGTGCACATACAGTGGCAGAACTAGAGAAATATTAAAATAGCTATCAGTAGAAAATTCTAAATTTCCAGGCACGAATGGTACTGACAGCACGGAATAATGCATATCACATAATGATAAAAGCCAGAATGACTTCAATAATCAGATGACAAAATGCTAATGATAATTTCTTTTAAATATCTCAACAGGTAAGTTAGCTAAGAAAGTATAAAATAAAATTTTCCTGGCACTGATTACTCTTGCATTCAGTATCTTGTGCCAAAACCCCAGCACTTTAAAAAAGTGTGGAAAGTTAGTGAAATTTTAAGCCAATTAGATATGTAAGAAGTTTAACACATGATAGCATCAAACCTACAGAAAACAAAATGCACTACATAAATTGTTACGTGTGTGGAAGAACTCTGCAGACAGAAATGTTCTAGGAGTGCTACAAATCAGAAGTTAAATAGTAAGAGTTCAACGTAGTTATTTTAATAATGGTACTATATTAAATTTTATTGTCTTATTGTGTAGTTATGATACCCCCACCTCAAATTCAACATGCTTAAACTTTAAAAAAAGGAGACGGGGTGCCTGGGTGGCTCAGTGGGTTAAGTGTCCAACTCTTGATTTCGGCTCAGGTCATGACCTCACGATTGTTTGATGTTCTTTTTCTCTCTCCCTCTGCCCTTCTTTCTTTCTCTCTCAAAAAAACAAAACAAAAACAAAAAACAAAACAAAACTACCTGGTTCTTCCTCCTGATCTCTACGATATGTAAATGTCATCCCCAGTCACCTGATAAACTGTATCATAATTCTGAGTCATCATTATTTCCGTTATGTCATTCTAGCTCCCACACCATAACCAATTAGTTGGCAGATCTGATTTTTCCTTCAAACTCTCACTTGTATCCAATTCTATTTTTCCATTCTCATGGTGGCCACTCTAGTTCTGGCCCTTTATTCAATTGCCTAATTAACACCCAGAAGACTTCTCCCACTCTAATTCAGACTGTTCATTGTCAGAAGCTTGATTTGGATAAAATACTGCCTCACCATTATTTGCCAATGCACCCACACCTTTGGTCTAGCTTTCAAGAGCTTCTATAATCTGGCTTTGATATATCTTTTCATTATCATCCACAGTAACTACAGAAACTCTCCACGTTAGTTAAACTGATCCACTTACTAACTCCACACACAACTTACCATTTCTACCTAGATGTCCTTGATTGATCTATTATTTACTTTGACTGGGATGTCCTATACCTACCAACCACAAAGTTAAGAGACAAAGATGATTTAAATACAACCAAGGCCAATTTCAAGAACAACTTAGCATAAATTCCCACATCATGGTCTGCCCTGATAAGTCCCACTAGAAAGTGCTCCTGCCCTTTCCTTGGAGATTTTAGACCATCTCATCACAAGCATATAGAGCCAGAACTGGTTCTCATGGATCTCTGTAACTCTGCTCACTTGGAAGACATAATAAATGAATAAGTAAGTGTACAACAAATTAGGTATACAAACATGATTAAGAACTTGGGCGATGTTAAACTTTAAGGATTTGGGAGATGAGAAAAACAAGGATGTTAGAATTCAGTGTTAAATATCTCTAAGTTAAGAAATACAATGAGACCCCCCAACATTCAGTTTAATATTTGAAATACTCCAGACAACCTAATTTGTAAGTTTTAGAACAGGAAGAATGTTCTGACTACATTGCCATGTAACAACCCTTGAAAGTAGATTAAAAATAAAACTATCTATACTTTTTAAGAAAACTGTCTTTCCAATGAAAAGTTTTTCTTATAGCTGTTGCAAAAATATGTCTTCCTTCAGAAGATTCTCTAATAATAATTCAAAGAGACTTTTCAAAGAAAATTCAGATATTTTTAACTATGCCATCTGATGCATACTGATAACTTTTAGGTAAATGGTTCCTATTTCTATAAAAATACAGATGTGTCAAATGCCTTTTCATGGGACAGTGTTAAACTTTGTCAGTGAAATATAGCTCTAATTGCTATACATTACATGACTCCTGGAAGGAAAGTTCATTTAACCACCATACAAGCTATATCACTAGATATAGCCCCAGTAAAAAAAAAAAAAGTGTAACATACAACCTCTATACCCTATTAGCTCAGATAAAATGAGTTATTTGTGTCTGGAGTACTAAAGCATGAAAGTGTGTTTCAATGAGAAATTTCAAGTGGAATTCTCTTATGGTGAAATTCATTATTTTCATCACTTGGTTACAAGGTGGTTATGTTTACGCACACACAAGTGCATGGGGTCATAGCCTGTATAGTATGCATTTTATTCTCTCACTCTGTGGGCAGAAATACTGTATGCTGAATTGGCCTCTGCACTATATAAATGATATGAAGAAGCCAGAATCTGTTAAAGGTAAAAAATATTAGGGTTTGGAAGCAGGGGAAAGAGAAAGTAAAATAGAACTGCTGTACCTAGGACTGAAGGACACTTGATCATTGCTTCTCTGGTATCTGTCCTCCCTCCCTCTCCTTCTTCCAAAACTTTAGTTTCTGTTGGGGATCCCTGCAGTGACCCTATCTTGGTTCCAGGGATGGTACAAACTAATCAGTGGTCATAGTGATTGGTCCAAGAGTAAGAATGTGATCTAAACCAGTAAAAAAAAGCGAATTTCCTGATTCTTCGTAGGAACAGTGAGAGCTAAAGTTATTCATCCTCTATCTCTCCTTACATATAAACATGGGTGCTGAATAAGGATGCACATAGTTCCTTCGATGGGACAGGAGCCAGTCTTAGGATAATAATGACGCCTCTCAAGACAGAATGATGAAAGGATATTGGGTCAGTGGTGACAATATTGACATTACTAATGAGTCAAAGCAGTAAATCTTATCTAAATCCATCTCTACTTCTGGATTTTTCACTTAAAGAAGTCAGTAAGTTCTCATTACCATTTAGGCTAGTTTGAGATCATGTTTTCAGGTACATGTACAAGGATACATATACATTGTTATGCAGTGATTGTAGAAAACCTCTGCTACATAAAAAATTTATCACTATTTTTCATCTAAGATAAATCATTAAAATCAGCAAATTCATGGAGGCAGAGATAAAAAAAAATTCACATAAGTGGAAACTACATCTAGGTTCAACAAGAGAATCATTTGACAGTTTCATTTTTAGTTTACTCAAGTAAAATTACTTACCTGGATGTGTACTATGTCTATATTCTATCTTGTGCTGGGGATTCTTCCTTAAAAAAAAAAAAAAAAAAGGCAAATATAAGATTTTTCCAATCACTAAATATTAGTAAAGACTATTTAAATTAAACTAGAACACTAACCTACAAACAAAAATTAGGTCCCAATAAGTGTCTTATTGAAAAGCATTTGCTTTTTTGTTATTGTTGTTAACTATAGTCACTATGTTGTACGAAGCATCTGCTTTTTAATTACAACATTTATTAAGTGCCTACTACATGCTGGGCATATTTCTGGGGAAATATCTGCTGGGCAGATGCAAAGATATCCTGGTGAACCAAAATTTTTACCTCAAGACTTACTAGAGAAAAGCAGTATAAGACAAATAAAATACAACATATCATATTCCCAAAATACAATACTGTATTTCTAAAATGTCAATGCCATATACCATATATAAAAATATAATGTAAAGTAGTGTATAAAACATAGAACACAAAGTATCAAATATGTGTGTCTATGTGTGGATGCATGTAATGTCTAAGAGGATACTTCTAAGGCTCTTCTTGAATCCAAAGACCAAAGCACTTAAGTCATATCTCTAAAGATTGCCAGTTGTTATGAGGATACAGAAAAGTTAATTTGCATTGAGAAATTCATATGACATATTCCAAAGTCAAACGGAAACTACTGTTTGGATATCTATTTTTTATTATACGTACTCATGATCTCTTCTATTATTTTATTAGCTAAACGTGAATAAAATAGCATTTAGCTAATAAACTGCCCAAGCAGCACAAAATCCAAAGCAGTAACTGGTCCATCATTATCAGCTTGATGAGTACCTCTCTATGGTGGGCTAATATGGGAGAGCTGGGGGACACTGACAATAGGTATGTGCTGAGGTGCACGGCTCATACGAAGTTGTTGTGAGAATTCATGAAGAATACGGAGCAAGTCCTTAGTCTAAGGACGCAATAAGTTGTAAGTAATTAATGTTAGCCATTGACACATCCATCACTGGTTCCAGAAATAGTCATGGGGCACTAATTGTATGTCAGTCTCTGTGTCAAGTGTCAGTGACATTGCTTATTGCTAATATCTCTTCTTTTTAGGATAGCATTTAATACAGTATAAGATTGCAACCACACAGTTAATTAGGGCCATAACTCAACAGTTTTGAAAAGTGGAAAAAAAATTCTACAAAAGATTGTGTATTTGGGATAATTAACCCAAATGTGACCTTTTAATGGAAAAGAAACTTCAAAGTTGAGAGAAATAAACTGGACAACTTAAATGCAGCAAAGAGAAGTGCAAATGAACAAAGCTGCTGTGATGATTTGTGGGAAGACCTTTCCTTACTGATGTGTTTAATTCAGCCTGAATTAAAATTCAATTAATGCTGGACAAGTCAGGGGAGGAAGAACAGACACATGAGGGACATTAATACCAAAATTATTCTTCATCAATAATCTAGAAAAAGACCGTTGGTCATCTGAGATTATTTTGGGTAACCTTTTAAAAACTGTGTGTGTGTGTGTGTGTGTGTGTGTGTGTGTGTGTGTGTTAAAATTAAACACACTGGTAGCTTTTTGTTTTGAAAAAAAATATCAAACATACTAAAAAGTAGCAAGATTAGTACCCTGAAATTCCATATACCTTCATCGAGATTCTTCAAATGTTAACCCTCTACACAGATGCTCCATTGTTGTTGTTGTTGTTGTTGTTACTATTTATGGTCTTTTGAGATTTAAAACTTTTTCTTTTTTAAAAAAATTTTTTAAAAGTTTATTTATTTATTTTGAGAGAGACAGTGCAAGTAGGGGAGGGGCAGGGAGACAGAGGAGACAGTGAATCCCAAGCAGGCTCCATGCCATCAGTGCAGAGATTGACACAGGGTTTGAACCCACAAAACTGCAAGATCATAACCCAAGCCGAAACCAAGAGTCAGACACAACCAACTGAGCCACCCAAGAACTCCTCTCCTTCTTTTTAAAATGTATTTTTTTTTTCAGGTCTTAAGCAGTCCTGTCTTTTCCCACTTTGCCTTTAATAATTAAGAAAAGAAATATTAAAAAGTTAAATACAGTCTTAATTGTTTGCCACCAGAGCCTCTTCCAAAACGGTATGGAGGTTCCTCAAAAAATTAAAAGTAGAAATACCATATGATCCAATAATTTCACTACTGGGTATTTACCCAAAGAAAGAAAAACACTAATTCCAAAGGATATATGCACCATATGTTTACCGCAGCATTCTTTACAATAGCCAAGATATGGAAGCAACCTAAGAGTCCATCGATAGACAAATGGATAAGGAAGATGTAGTGTGTGTATGTATATATACATATATATGTATATATGTATACACACACACACACACACACACACACACACACACACACCCCAGAATATTACACAGCCATAAAAATGGATGAAATTGTGCCATTTGCAATAAATAACATGTATGGCCCTAGAGGGTATTATGCTAAGTGAAATAAGACAGAGAAAGACAAATACTATATGATTTCACTCTCACGTGGAATAAAAAAAAAAAAAAAAAAAAAATGAATAAACAAATAAAATCAGAATCAGACCTATAAACACCAGGAACAAACTGACAGTTACCAGAGGGGAGGGAACTGGGGGATGGACAAAAATGGGTGAAGGAGAGCTTCCAGTTATAGAATGAACAAGTCATGTGAATAAATGGCACAAAATAAGGAATATAGTCAATGATACTGTAAGAGTGATGGTGACAGATGGCGACTACACTGTGGTCAGCATATATAAACTTGTTGAATCACTAGGTTGTATACCTGAAACTAATGTAACATTGTGTGTCAATTACACTCAAATAAAAAAAGTACAGAAATGAAACCAAGGACTTAACAGAGACTCAAGTACAGTTTACGCACCAAATACCAGTTAAAAGACTGCTGATAACAGTTGTCAATGCCAGATAGACTGAAAGTGAAAACAACATTTTTAAAAGGCAGATGCAGGTGGGGAGCAGGTAGTGATTCAACCTCAAGTTTGCAGAAGGTGGTTCCCCTTCTCTATTATCTTTTTTATTTAAGTTTATTTTATTTATTTTGAGAGAGAGAGTGAGCGCATAAGCAGGGGAGGGGCAGAGAGAGGGGGGGAGAGAGAGAGAGAACCCCAAGCAGGCTCTGCGCCATCAGCATGGAGCCCAATGCAGGGCTCGATCCCATAAACCATGAGATCACGACCTGAGCCAAAATCAAGAGTTGGACACTGAATCCCCTGAACCACTCAGGCGCCCCCTGTCTTCTCTATTATCCTGAAACACATCCATAATTGCACCCATATACCCCATCTACATAATCTAACCTTACATACTACCTAGGCAAACCATTTCAGAATGAAAGATTTCTAAAAAAAAAAAAAAAAAAAAAAAAGCTTAATACTTACATATTCCAAAAAGAGCAGAAAAATGTATTATGAAACTTTGTACTCAGAAAACAAAAAAAAGATTTTCAGCTCCATGGACAGATTTTCATCTGCCTTAGAGAGAGAAATGTTTCTTTGAGGCTCTGATAATAGTTTCCACCCTCTCACAGAACTTGCTATTTTAAGACAAGTGTAAGACTGCAATGGAGGCCAGAAGCAACTAGTTGATTTGGTACTCTTCCACATGTAGAGGCCAAACTCTATCTTGAAAACAAAGAAAAACTATCCTCTGTGATAAGTTCAAAAGTTTTCTGTTTAGGAACTTTAGGATATATTTCCAAATATATTTTCTTCGTTGATGATAAATATAACTCTCAGAATAGACACACTTCAGGAGGAAAATGAGCCAAGAAAGAAAAGATAGTATATCACATGCAAAAGTACATACTCAAAATAAAAACAAATTTTAGACATGTTTTGTTTATGTAGCAATTTAAATGTTAAAAAAATAAGTATTCTGAATGTTAAACTCTTAAATTATCTTCTTCTTCAAGGTACCCCATAATCCCAGTCCCAACCTTTATCTGCAGCTCAACCCTTCCTTCATTTCTACTCTGGGGAAGTAGTTTTTGATTCTTTGCCATTGATAGATACTTGCTCCCAGCCTTTTTGCCAAGAATATTCTAAGTATACATTGCCTAAGTTAAAATCACCTCCCTCAGAAAGGCAATGCCGGTAATCACTGGGACACAGCCCTAGAATATGTCATCTATATCTACTGTTTGGTACTCACTACATAATTTCTTATGTTGTCATCTAAATTTTCAACACAAATGTGTGTGTGCACATGTGTGTTTTATCTCTATCATCCATCAAATCAGTCACTGGAAGCCACAGAGTTTTTCTTATACCTTTCGATACCTTTTATAGCACCTTCTACAAGGTGGCATTCAACGGTAATCTTAACAAATTTATCTACTAGAATATAATCAACTCTTTTCTTTGAAAAAAGTTTTTTAATTAAGCTTTTACATGAGTTCCCAAAATGATGGAATATTTTATATTTTTCTATTTTATAAGAAAAAAAGAAACTTGTTTTTGCTAGCTTTACTATTATTTCTTAAGAAAATCATTGTTGAGGGGTGCCAGGGTGGCTCAGTCAGTTGAGTGTCCGACTGTTGATTTTGGCTGTGATTATGATCTCACAATTCATGGCGTGGAGCCCCGTTCGGGCTCTTCACTCACTTAAGGTGCAGAGCCTACTTGGGATTCTCTCTCTCTTCCTCTCTCTCTCCGCCCCTCCCCCACTGATGCGCATGCACGTGCATGCTCTCTCAAAATAAATAAACTTAAAAATTATTTTAAGACAATAATTGTTGAAAAGAATGTGAAAGAATCATTTGCAATACAAATCGAAGTTTAAAATTCTAATTGGTTGGAATACAAAAAGCAGTTTCTAGGAATTTCTAAACTGATAAGATTTTCAGTTCATGTTCATACTTAATTTTTTTTTTAAATAAATCCTAATCGATGGATCCTGATGTTTTCAGACCTCAGTTTTGAAAGGCAGTTTTTCTGCCGGAAAGATCCCAGAGAATGCTTATTCTATTAGGTTGGAAACTGTGTCAATGTGCTGAAAC